TCCTGAAGGCAAATGCAGCCGCTCCCTTTGCAAGGTAGGAAGACCGAAAGGAGAGAGGCCCATGAGTGCAACTATCTTTGGAACACACACGCTGGATGAAGTGCCAGGAAATCTCAGCATTTCCATGGCAATTCCATGCATGAACCCAACAGCAGCTCCCACCCACCTGCTAATCCTTTTTTCAAGTGGCTGTTAATTACCTCTTACACTTCCCTTCAGATGGGAAGCAGCTAGGGGACTGTTAAAAAGGCTCAGCAGGGAATGCATTATTCATGTGACTACTACCCCAGAAAAAATAAAACCGTCAGTGTCCAGCACAGACAGCAGCATTTTCAACAGAGGCAGGAAGCAAACCCAAGCCTTTACTTCACTAGATATTTAATGAACCTCTTTCCTTTAGCTGCTGAGCCATGACCTGGAAGAACTCGGCAACGGTCTGCGGCTCAGCTACCTTGTAGCTGGCGATGCAGAGATGAAGGAGGAAGAGACCTATCTCAGGACAAGGCTGATGCTGTATGTGTGCAACACGGACCTTCCACTGCTGCCACGTTCTGCTTCCTACGAAGTGCTCCTGTGCCCCTCTGAACAGAGCCCTCCCAAGCCGAGGACGTACACTTGCAGCTTTTGCACCCGAAGCCCATCCTGGATTGTGCTCACACTGCCAAGGGCCTCTCCCCCTGCTCTGTTTGCAGCCAAGACTGAACTGAATTTCGCTGGTACTGGTTCAGTGTGCCACCCTTATCTCATTTTTCTGCTTGAGATACAGCTTCCTCCAGCACCACCAGGAGATGAATACATCTCTGGCCACTCTGCTCAAGAAGTGACTGTCAGGACCGTTCAGGCTGACACAGCTCAGGTTCGCGGTCTCTGGGTACTGTATCTGGCAGCCATGCAACTCCTGGAGCTGACCAGGAGAAGGAGCCTGCAGGAGTCCTACAGAAAGAGCTACGCCTCTCGAATCTATAGCTGACGCTGTCTCTCCAGACTTCATGTGAAGTCCAAAACGTATGCCTAGGAGTAGTGAGGAGTCATGCACCTCACTGGTACTGTCCTGGTAAAATACGAAAGGCGGGCAGTGGGCTACTTGACCTACGGTCTCCTGCACAGAGACAGCACAGACAGCTGCACCCCTCCAGGAGGAAAGCCTGATGGACTACAAGGGCCCTCACCAGAACAACTGCCAGCCATTCAAGCAGAAGACGCTGCTCCACCAGCTGTTATTCAACAGCTTGTCCACCGAGTCCCACCACTGCAGGATACGATGTCACGGACCAGCCACTGCCAAAAGTGTTCACAGGCTCCAAAGTCTCTCCAACAGCTTGTCACCCCTCAAGAGGCAGCAGGCCACCACACTTGCTCTCCAGCTATCCAGACCCTCTACAGTTCCAAGACTACCTGCGCTCTGGAGTGGGCATGTCTTGGGAAAACACCACCAAACGACTCTTCAAGATCTGCCAAGATCTGTGCTGGCTAATACTGCCAAGCACACCATTTTGTAAATTAAAAACAGAGGCCAGTTCCAAGTACTCATCTCAACTTGTCAAACTTACTGATCTGTGTGGGCACAATGACGTTACATATTTCTTAAGACATCACAAAACAGTGGCTGACAGCTGCCCTGTTCCTCCCGAAATGAATGCTTCTACGGAAGACGCAGAGCCTCATTAGAGCAAACACAGAGGACTGCGCGCCTTTACCCACACGCCGACAGCACCACAACTCGGAGATCCGAGAATTTCTGAACTCCGGTATCTGTGGGTAAATGGAAAAGTGAAGTGCTCCAAGCATAGCATGTCTGAAAATGCTGATCTCAAGTGCAGAGAGACCACATCCAGTCTCTGTTTTATAAGCATTGAGGTTTGTTCAGCCCCATAAAATTTACAGACGTGTAAGTGGGTCGTGACTGGTTTCAACTCAGAGTCAACTTTTTACTGAAATCATGGCAGCGTTACAATCCTTGACAAGATACATTTGACATAAACTACCTGTCTGATCTAGGGTGCAAAATGCAAGGGCAATCCTTTCTTCCTACCTTACTTGTCCCTTACTCAACGTGTTTCCACTCGGTCTACACCACAAAGGCCTGCCACCACACCAATATGCTGGTGTTCACACACACAGCAGCCCAGAGATGTCACCAGTGCCCAGTTCCCTTGCTTGTGCTCACAGTGAACCGGATTCAGGTGCCAAAGCACTGCGCTTGCTTCTCCTATGGCATTTTTGGCTAATAGTTTGCTTCTGCTAGGAGGGAAGTCAAGCTGGTCCAGAAATCAATGCTGAATTATATCTGAGCCAACGGATGTTCAGTGGGGAGAACCGAGAAACAGTAAGACTCCAGCAGTAACTGGAACTGCCTTCGAAGAGCCAGCTGAAGCAGACTGCTGTTAACAGCCTCTGCCTACTTACTGCTGCTCCATTTCATTTCATTTTCACATTGCTCTTGCCACCTCTCCCACAGCCAGCTGCTCCATCCAGCTGCCACGCCAGCCCAGGACAGCGTGCCCCAGAAGCCTGGCACAGTGCTGTCCTCGTCAGCCGCTCCGACGAAGCTGACCTGGTAACAGCTCGGCTCTCCTGCTTGCTTTCATCAGCAACACCTTCGTCTTCCACAGCTGCAAAGCCACCTTGGAGCAGACAAATCAGGTTCCTCAAAGGGATTTCTTTACATCTAGATTTGTGCTCTGCAAGGATTTATTGTGCCAGAGATACTTGACGGCAAGATGAAGGGAAGAGGACCAACATGCTTGATCTGCAGATCATGTGTCTATTGGTAACAGAAACATCCAAATCACATTTTCATCACTTCCCTGTCTACCTGGGCTAAGTCCAACAGCCTGTCCAGAGCCCAGAGGCTCGACAGCCCAGTCCCAAGGGCCAATCCACTTCTCGCCCTCCTTGCTTACCTGAAGGCACACGTCTCTGACTTTACTTGCTCCTCTCTGATATTTCTTTCCCCACCTTCCATGCAGCAGTGCCCAACACAGGCGTTAGGGCATGCGTATCACCAAAGACATGACCACCAAAAGCAATGATAAGCTGTATTGGTTAATTTGCGGTACCCTGGGAAAGAAAGAATCCACATTCTTGATACATGTAATTCCTGCTAATTAGGCACTTATTACTATTAGACACTTACAATACATCCTTTGTCATCCAGTAACTCTAACTGGAGCACTTCCTCTGACCCAGGTAACTAACCGCGAAAGGACTTTCACATTTTCTCTCGCTGTCACAGGTTTCTCAAGAGGAGGTGACACGCTGGGATAAGCCTCAGCTGACTGATGCCTACTCACAACAGTGGAGGGACTCACCGAGCCAAACTGTGATCTGATGCAGACTGCCTTGTAACCCCATGGGATGAGCAGTTTATAAATCAAGGCAGAAAATAGCCACAAGGCATGGAGAAAAGCTTTAAATAAAAAAAAAGTCCCAAATTTATTACTGTGTTTAGCAGCCAAACTGATGATTAAAGCACCTTAGATTTAAAACCTCAGCTACGGCATCAGAAGCAAAGCGGCAAAGGGGAATCCAGATAAGACCAATTAAAAAAACATCTGTCATCTCAGAAAAATAAATTTCAGGGAAAG